TGCATGGGCGAACCGGTGTCTCTGTATTTGTGTGTGTGTGTGTGTGTGTGTGTGTGTGTGTGTGTGTGTGTGTGTGTGTGTGTTGAGAAGGGGGTGTTTCAACTGATTCAACAGATGCAATCCAATCTGTCAGACGATGCTTGTGAGGTTACAGACATTTTCTCATTGCCCTGCCAGATGCATACCAATGCAGTCCACTCCACTGGAAGGACGAGCACACCTTGCTCCCTCTCTCGTCTCTCTTTCTTTTTGCGTTCCTTTTGCACTCATTATATCCGTGCCCCTTTCTTTCTCTCTCTTGCTGGTGATAGATGTGTTTTCCTGGCACCCTCTGGCTGTTCATTTGCACCAATGACAGTAAATTAATCTTGTATCATCATTAGTTCTCTTTCACCTTCATGACTCCCTCCAGAATAAACACTCGCTCGGATAATGTCAGATCAACTGGCCGTGCCGCCCATTGTGTGCTCAACTTTATCTTTCACGTTTTTTCCTGTTTCCTGCAAAAGAAACATTTAGAACCAAATGTAAAGTTACAAATGGCAATCTGACATGTACTGTGTATTTAAAGCAGCCCTGACCTTATCTTTGTTTGTGTGTGTGTTTGGAGAAGGTGGGTGGAGGGAGGGGGCATCGGTGACATCACTATCAGGGAGGATCTGAATGGACAGGAAAGTCAATTAGAGTTTAACTGAGTTTACCAGCTGGTAAGAGAGAGAGCGAGAGAGAGAGAGAGAGAGCGAGGGAGGAAAAAGGGGAGGAGAGCACAAAAGAGAAGTACAGACAGATTGAGAGAGGAAGGGAGAAAGTCAGCTCCAAAGCCAGAGGGACAGGAGGGAATTTAGCCGGCATAAAACTTCCAATTATTCCTCTCTCATCCATTTCATTATCCTGGTCTCCTTCTCAGCTGCTATTTTGCATCCTGCTCCTGGCATAACAGCAGCGTCCGGTCAGCCACAGGGAAGCCGGTGGATGTTTTTTAAGAGCGCACTTCTCTGACACTCAGAAGAGGATGAGTGCTTGAGGACAAGCTGGAGAGGCTGACGTTATTCCAGAGGTACATTCACTAACGCAGGAGAGGCAGACAGCGTCTACTCCATCCTCAGGAGCGAATGAGACGAGAGGGTCTGTAACGCTGGAGCTGAAGGACAAACCATGGACTCTGCACACCTCCCACTTCACCTGGACGTGAGTACCAACCTCCGCAGCAGAACACCTTGACGCTTGCAACATCAGTCGTATCCTGTGCCACGGGCAAAACTAGTGACAAGTGCTTGTGTAGAACATCTAAACTTTTTGTAATCAAAACAAATTGACTTTGAGAAGCAAAGTTGTGTAAGTTTAATTAAGTTAATTTTATTACCCCTATGTATAACACAAAGGTTACTAAAGGTACTAAGGTTTTTGCTTATTTTCTGTAAACAAGTTTTATCTCACAGAATTTCGCTTCTTAGGTCAATTGATCTTGTTTTAAGGATGTTTAGACAATGGAAAACAAGACAATATGTACAATAGCGATTAAGAAAATTATATTCTGTAGTGTATGACTGAAATCTTAAATGTCAAACAACCACCCATTCCTTACCAAACTGTCTGCTCTATGCTAAAAATTCACACGTGTTACTCATCAAACCCAATGACAGATTCATAGTGGAGACGCATCCTCAGAACACATGAAACAGGCAGGTCAATGTTTCCACCAAAGGCAAAAAGCAGACAATGTTCTGTAAAAGACTTGCGGACTGCTAAGATTGCCTTGCTGGAGCATGCAGAAGAAATGACTGTGGAGAGTAGATCCTTGCTGTCCAGGGCTGGCAGAGAGCTCAATATATGCTTTTGGCTTGGGGGATAAAATGTATAGCAAACAAACAGGCAAGCCCTTTGCTAACTGGATAAATCATAAAGACACAATCTGGCAGAAAAGGGAAGTTGTGATATGCGATGTGTCTTTTCAGAGCTTACAAAATGGGATGTTACAATGTTATGTTAGCTAAAATAGATCATACATTTAGATCCCTCTGCATTTGCCAGATGATAATACAACACTGTCTGAGGGTTTCAGGACCGTCAAATCGGTCAAATTGATAACAGAATGTTATGTGGGGGTCAGGGGAGGATTCTGGGAGGAAATGTCTTGTCTGGTCTACTCATCCTTGGAGACCACTTTAGTCTGTTCTTAGCTGAACCTTTGGCAAGCTGCATAGAAATGGTGTGTATGTTCCTATAACTGTATCAGTTCTGGAGTGTGTTTTCAGTCTCTAACAGTGAAGTGCGTGTGTATGGTCACAGAGGATTGTTCCACTGAATGTTATGGGGCACAATCTGAGGTCTGGGCTGCTGTCATTATCTCTTAATCGGTCCAGCTGGGATAAATTACAGTTTTGTGCTAATATACTCCAATAAAACTACCCCTGCGGGCTACCTGCAATATTATTCTAATGATTTCATGTCTTTAATGCAGCAGAACAGAGGCACAGCTCTAACATTTGTGACTTCTTGCATGCCTTGGGGACTCAGGATATAAGCCCCATTTCCACCTCAGGAACTTTCCCCAGGAACTAGGGACTTTGGGCCGGTACTGGGTGTGTTTCCACCGCAGGAACCAGGATCTAAATAAAGTTCCGGGTAAACATTTGCCCCTCAGAAAGTCCCTGCTTGCGAGGTAGTACTTTTTTAAAGGTCAGGAACTTTCAGGGGTGGGACTTGGACTTGAAAATATGCGCCACTGATCTCGGAGACGTGAGCTCCACACAATCAGTTCTAGGAAAGTGCTCATGTATCCCAACGAGAGCAGCCTCAACTCGGCTTGTCCTTCTGACATTTGCCGCTGACTCCGATGTCTCTATAGTGGTTAAACATGAGATATAATTTGTTTTGGGAAAATCTAACAGGAAATCTTTGGTCTTAATTCTATTATTCTGTTTATCTATTAATATATTAAAATGAAAATAAAAAGAGGCAATAACAGCTGTATCTATATCTGTTTGATATAATATTTTGTTTCATTGTAATGTATGTATGTTCCCTGAACTAAATTTCTGTGGCTATTAATTTGTTTAAATGAAAACAAAAAGAGGCAGTGGTGTTTGATATCATATTTCGTCTTATTGTAAATACAGTGAGGGAATTTGCAGTAGGCAAGTCGAGCTGACTGACATTTTCAAGTACGCTGCTGTTCCATTTGCAGAATTACCGTAGGCCGACATTTGCGTAGGCCTACTTGGTATTAAGAAACGCACACAGACCGTCACCAGACTAGCCTAATCTTCAAGGTGCTTTAGACTGCGATGGAAATGCAGACAGCAACAGTTATGCTGGGAAAAAAGTTCCTGGGACAAATTGTTCCAGGTAATTTTGGTGGAAAAGCGGCTATAGTGTGGGTACCTTTTCAATCTGAAAATGTAGAGCAATTCATGTTTAAGAGTGTTCCTTCAAGAACAAAATTACAAAATAGGGAGGGGGGGAGCGAGCTGGGGAGAAGCAGTCTAGGGAATGAACGAAAGGAAGAACAACAGGAAAGGAGAGCGGAGGGATCGGGGTACGGAGTGAAATGTGAAACATGAAGACAGCGGTGGAGGATAAATCAGCAACAAGCAGAGGCACCATGACCCCTACGGCCCTACACTGCTGACTTCTGAGTAAATCTGAAAGGGGAAACATGCGAGAGAGAGAGAGAGAGAGAGACAGAGAGAACCTGCTTTTCCTAGAACTGCGTAACAATATATCAATTCTGGAAGTCATGCTTTAGAGGAAGAGAACTGATAAGAATAATAAAAATAGGGTGGGGGGTGGTGTGGAAAGAAAGCTGAAAGAGATAAGTGGATGCAAAGAAACCCTGCCCTCCACTCTGAGGTCGACAGGCCATGTCGCTATGGTAATGGCACGAGTCTGGCCAACCTTTCATCTGCCGGGGTCACCTCTCGCCATCTGTTCTGGGGTCTAATAAACGCCTCTTTCCGCCCCCTCTGTCTGATTACTGCTCTCCCTGTAGAGGAAGTGATTACATGTCGAATCCAATCACAACAAAAACCATAACATGTATGCGGCCCAAATGCATGCCGATGAGGGGGAGGGACTGCGGGGAAGACAGAAGCTAAGGAGTCTAATGAAGGTTTAGTGGGGAGGCGGCATTCAAGAGAACAGCTCCATCTGGAAGGTACACCTCTTTGAGCTCCCACTGGGCGTAACAATCGAGTGGATGGGTAAAAGCCACTTAATCTACTTTACTGCCGGATGCTGTGGGCGTGGGGGACTGTCTTATCCTGTGTGTCCTCTCAGGATTCGGCTGGAGTTTGGTGAATGAGTGTGAGCGAGCTGGAGGGGACGTAGAGGACAGCGGGAGGACGGTATACATCCTCTTTTCCAGTGCGTTTAACACCTGCAGTTGAGGATAATCCAAGACTCCCAAAGGAGTCACTGCTCAGCAAGTCCTGACTTGAGCACATTCTACATCAAAAGACCATTTAGTTTGTCTCAGATGTAAGTGTTCCTGGCCTGTGTGGGACCACCCAGCACCTTATAGAGGCATATTCTAAGATAAATACAAGATAAGCTCTATATAGGCCATGCAAGCTGTTGAGACCACCGAAATCATTTAGACTAATCCCTCAGTATGTAAGAACAGACTGTGTTGACCGTTGTTAAAGAAGACAATAAGGCCAAGCATACAATGGATGCCCCACTGACTTCCACTGTAATTCAATTTCAGCTGAAACTGTTGATAGAGTTGCATTTAACCCAAAATATTAATTTAATAGTGTTTCTATCAAAGCTCTCAAATGACCCCTTCGACACCTCTCACGAACTCCACCAAAGTACATATTTGTAAAGGACCCATTGAAGGCTTATGTTGGCTAAGAGATGGGACCAATGGGAAGAATAGGTCAATACTGTAAGATTTGAGAAGATTTTGTCACTAATGGATGACAGCTTGCTACAATTAGCTTTTACTGAAAGGAATGAGATCTAAGTGTTGGAGGGTCTAAGTTTTTCTGTGCCAATCTGTCCTTTTAGGTATTTTTTCAGGTAGAATTTATCTTGCATATCAGTGACATAGACAGGGCCCAAATTCAGGCTATACATGTTATATTAAACATTTCAAATCCAAGTCATAAAATTTATTTGATTTATTTTTTCTGTACAGTATATCAATGAATAGATAAAAGTCAATTTGATGCTCCCAAAATTATTCACAAATATGTATAGACTAGTATACATGTATGAAAAACATGGCAATTTTAAACCTCTCACTCTCAAAGGACTTTTGAAAGGTGATTTACTTTAGATTGGGTGCTACAATAAACATCAGTGTGCTAATACAAACTTTAAATCTTTAACCTAAAGATTATTTTCAAGCAGCTGTTTTAGAAACACATGACAATGAGTCCTTTTCTCGGGGTCACTGGCAGCAGCACAAAGTCAACAAACTGCAAATTTCAAATCTACTTTCATTATACACTGACCATTATAATCATTCAAGAATGATCATGTGCCTCATGAGCATCCTAGAATAAGTCACACCACATAATGTATATAATGTAGCATTTGCAAGTAAGTAAGTTTGCATGCTTTTCAAGAACACTGTGCACCAATGCTCTATGGCCTGGGTTATTCTCATTTGTCAGTTAAATCAACTCAAGAGACACAGGGTTAATGAATTGGTCTAACAGGCCCATTGTAGAACTCTAAATCAAACAGCACACACCATAATCTCTGTAAAACTACTTCAGTTCCCTAATGACACTGTTTCTGCGATTACGGTCTCCAAAACAACAAATACCAGTAAATCAACAACAAAAACACAGAGCAATAGTTTCTTACCACTCTATGCAACAAACCAGACTATTAGCGCTAAATCAGCCAACATATGAGGCAAAACAAAGACACATGGCTCAAGGGCTAAAGCTAAAAATATGGTCAATTGCAACACTAATTGGGACAAGAAATACATTTTGACCATTATTTCTTCTGAGTCAGGTATTCATTCATTGACTGGAATAAACACCATCAATTAATGGAATAGTTCACCCAAAAATACAATTTCTGTCATTGTGCCATTCCAAACCTGTATGACGGCTTTTATCCATACAGTGAAAGTCAATGGGGTTCAAAATAGCAATGATAAACAAACCTTTTTTTTAAATATCTTAAGAAGTCTCACAATGGCTCCTCTTTTTATCTTTCCGCAGGTCCAACATGTTCCCTGCTAGCCTACTGGTTCTGATGGTCCTGCTGCTACCTCGTGTCTCATCAGGTCAACAGGAGGGTCCCAGTCAGACTCATGGAAACCTTGGTAGACCTCTGGAACCTAGTTTGGCCCATACTATTCAAAACCTCCTGCTGACCCGCCTGGGCCTACAGTCACACCCAAACCCCAGTACAGAGGCACGGGTACCCCAGTATCTTCTAGACCTGTATCGATTCCACACTCAACAGTACCATCTCGTTGAAGACCCAGAGTTTAGCTATCCCTCCCAGCATGTGCAAGGAGCCAACACAATCCGATGCTTTCACCACACAGGTATGAGCAGCTATTGCACTAGGTCATAGGAACACAGATTCCCTTGGCAGTCGTAAAAGGCTAAATTTACCATAAACACAGCACAGAGACGTGTGGAAGTCAATTAACCTGCCTTAGGTGCCAGGATGCCCACTGAAAAAGCTACCCATGGATTCAATGTTCTGATATTTTTCACTCAAGTCTTGGCATCAGCGTAGACACCTTGGAACAAGTTAAGAAGGACGAGGCTTATTTTCATAAGTGCTCTTAGCAAATGATGTGCAATTATTATTTAGTTGGACAACTATGCCATTACCCAGAGAGCAAGTGTTTGAACATGCTGGAAAGAAAGTATTTCACAGCTTAAGGACTTTGTCTCTCTTTTTTTCCATCTAGATTCTACAGTCCTGAGTGTTCCAGAAGAGCAGAAAACGACAGGGGACAGCATTCACATTGGCTTCAATCTGTCCTCCATTCCGTCAGAAGAGAGCGTGGTGTCGGCAGAGCTCCGTGTCCTGCACGAAGGATCAAGTGAAGACTCTCACGTGGTCAGTCTTTATCTTTCCAACAGTGACCCTGCATCAAAGCCCACACTGATCCATTCACGCCCACTGTCTAGAGATCGAAAGACCACAGAACTCTGGGAAACCTTTCCCCTGGATGGAGAAGTGTTTCAGAATCTATCTGAGAGGTCAAGGAGCCTGTCTTTTATTCTGAACATTATTGCTGATAATAACAGCAGCCTTTCCAAGGAGAGACATCTGCGGGTGCGCAGGTCCACCGAGCAGGATGAGCACAGCTGGGCGAGGCAGAGGCCGTTGCTGGTGACTTACAGTCACGATGGCCGCAGCGAGCCCTTTGTGCCCCTCAAAAAGCAGACCCCTGCTGGCAGACGAGGCAGGGGCAGATGGACCGGGGGCAGGTTTAAGAGTGATAGGGGTCAGGGCTCTGACACAGGTTGGCGGGTGGGATGGAATGAAAGGCGAGTGAAACGACATGGTGGGAGGGCTGCCAAGCTCAAACGGCTCTCCCGCGCTCGCTGCCGTCGACACCCGCTGTATGTGGACTTCAAAGATGTAGGTTGGAATAAATGGATCGTGGCCCCATCCGGTTACGATGCTTTCTTTTGCCTCGGAGAGTGCCGCTTCCCACTGGCTGACCATATGAATTCATCTAGCCATGCTATGGTGCAGACGCTGGTCAACTCCGTAAACGGGGCCGTGCCGCGGGCCTGCTGTGTGCCAACGGCCCTTAGCCCCATCGCCCTCCTTTACCTGGATCAGGAGGAACGTGTGGTGTTGAAAAACTATCAAGACATGGTGGTGGAGGGCTGTGGTTGTCGATAGCAAAATTCTCATGGAATAAGATAAGAAGGGTGGACTTGCAAAATAGGACTAAAAGCAGTAAGTGAGAAAAGAAAGCAAGGTAAAACTGTTATACTAAAAACATGAGCACCTTCCCGTAGTCCTCTGGAACCCAGCTTTGACTTCTTGTGTCCAATGAAGCATTGTATTTGTGTGAACAACGACCCTTAGAAGCACTCAGTCCCAACGTGACGTGTCTGTCTTATGTAGTACACTCCAGCTTTCTGTCTTGTTGGTGTCCAGTAGCTACAGTATGTTCTTGTTGTTGTGTCCTTCATGCTCCTGTTTTGTGCTTCTTTCCTCGTAATCATTACGTCATTGACAACTCAAAGGGACCAAAAAGTGACCGTGGACTCTTAATTGAGCATTTGGCGGTGGACAGACTTAAACCTGAGGAGAGACAATGAGAAAACTGAATTCCTCATCTCTGGTTGCAAAATAAACTTCAAACTGTGACAGAGACTATAACTGATTACAGGGCACTTCTTCTTATGAACTATTTAAAACTCACAATGTTATTGTCTGAATGTGTTAGTGCTAATATTTATGGTGACCTGCTATTTTTTTTATGTATGGTGCAGTCCAAAGAAAAGTTTGCTATACAAATAATTCTGTGGTAGTAGAGTAAATCTAATTTAAGAATGCATCAATATATATATATATATATATATATATATATTTAAATAGCAGAAAATATGGAATATTTAATCTTGACAAATACTGCAGATATATAAGTACCAGAACGCCTTATAGATCCATTTAAAGCCAGTTAAAACTGGTGTTACTCATCTATTATTTGTAAAACCACAGCACTGAATCATGGCAGCTTTATATTGGCATTGACTGAACTATGAGGGATCTTTCATTACAACTGAAGCTTTGTGAAACAAAGAAAATTGCCTAAACATTCCACGGTGCCAAATGTTATGTTATGTGCCATAGGTGTGCAAGCTTGCTAAGTGGTATTATACATAACTCTGTGTCTATTGTCATCACGTAGTTATCACACAAGTGTTAACCAAACTTTGTATTTATAGACAACAGGTTAAAAAAAAACTGCCCGATCTCATTCCGATGTTCTGCCATGAATAGCTGATTATATTTTAGTGTGATGCTTTGCGTGCAGTTTAAACAAAAGCCTTGAGAATGTCTGACATTGTCTGGAGCCATTGTGAAATGTGTAATAAAAACAGCAAACTAATCAGGCAGTTCTAATTATCTCAATCTTTGATTTCTTTTTCCAGAATTGCTTTCCTAAAAATTTAATTTGAAAGAATACAGAGTAGTAAACATGACGTAAATAAATACAAACTTTAATCAGCCTTGTTTAGAGGGTTCCGTGCACTGGGACACTAGCTAGACCAGCTTAAGCCAGATAAGTTTAGCAAGGTACTGTCATTTCAGGAAGGAAGTAAAAATGTAGAGAGAAAGTTATCTAGTGGAAGGGATCTGAAGTGATAGGAAGAGACTCCTCACACACTGCAAAATTTCTGCATTAGTTTATCAGCTCTCATTATAGATTCTTTCTCAACATCTGTTTTTCATCCTGCTGAGGATCTTGCACCCAGTCTGCAGCGGTCTTGATGTTCATTCATCTCATAGTAAATGAGAGGCGCTTCAGTATTCTCAGTTCCTTAAGCCTTTAGAGACAGAAAAGCTAAAGATTGAAAATTACAATACAGATAGCTCATTAGTGTTACATTTATCTTCTACAGTGTGTGTGTGTGTGTGTATGTGTGAGAGAGTGGGTCCAGATCAAACTTATGTGTTGTACTTAAACAGATGTCAAAAGTTCCACATCATCAAAAAGAATATCTAAAAGACTACATGAAACATCTTAAAAGTAACACTAAAGCCACATACTTACAGGAAAATGACCTTCGACCTGTGATGTCTTCCTTCCCATCCCCATATCTCTGTTTGCCATCACAAACAGAGCTTATCTTGCCAGGTGTGAGGGTCGGGTTGGTCTATGAACTGAACTGCAGTGGCCTTGACATATTTACAAGTATACAGCACATTCCCACAACCATACATCAACAATCAGGCCCGTACAGCACCCATGGGAAAGCATAGGTTATGTTCACAAAAGAAAATTAATTTATATGGCATTCATCAATTTATGTGCACTTAATGCTTTCTAACTACAGGCAATTCTACACCCTGTTTGTCTTTCATCTCTGCCACCCTAAAATCTTTGATAAACTCAACTGTCAACACCCAATTTATAATAGCCTAATTAGTCCCCTTAAAATTAGCCATCTATGATTATGTGATCTTTCTTTTCATGTTTACTGTAAACAACAGCTGCTGATTACTTCAGAACCCACAGGCAGTGACAAGGCCTCAGCATAAGTCAGGACAAAGAGAATGAAGCTGTATTCAAACAGTTGTGCTTGAAGTCTTCACTTGTCTAGACATAATGTTGTTGAGCAACACTCCAGTTTCACAAAGTAATACTGTTTGAAAAGAACAGAACAGGATATGAAGTGATACAATGTTCTGTTACGTTTAAAGCTGCATTCAGTAGTTTGGTGCTAATGTAAAAAATATTACACATCAAGAAATAAATTGTGTTTTTGTGATCTGAATGGTGTACACAGTTTTCTATAAAAAATTATGTTAATTATGTATGGTGCAGGACACCCCTCTTAATGTATTTCACCAAGCTGACATAAAGTGACCTGTGTTGTTTCACTAAACGTCAAAGAGAATACTCAGAAAGTGAAAATTAGACAATGGAACATACTTATCGTTGGTCTTTACCAGCAGAGACAATGGGAGGATTAGTACTTGTATGGATGAAAAAGCAGAAAAGTTTTGAAGACAGGAGACTGACATATACAAAAACAAGTGCAAAAATTAGTACAGCATCATCATCATTTGATCATTTGATCCTGAGCAGTGGTGCCCAAGTTGCTGATTCACATTGATAGATAGCAGTGCAGAGCCAAAAACATTGTGTAAAAGGTATTTACAGTTAACAAAAAAACAAAAACAGTGATGCTAATGCTAGCAAAAGAACTATTAAATGCACCTTTCAAAATATTAGGCTACTCAATGATGGCAAGTTTATTCACACCAACAGCCACACGACAACACACAATGAACTACCTACCAACTAAGATCCTGGCCTCAAAAATATTCTAGCCTAAAATGACACACATCTTCATCAAGAAATTCCAGACACCAGTCTACAAAGCTTTTATCTCACTGGTCTGTGAGGTTTTTTTTTTCCTCAAGCAAACAAAAAAAGAAAATTGCATGTTGTGGGTGAGTTTTCTCGCCCTGTGTGAGGGTGTGAATTTGTACTATTTTAAAGGTTTGAAAAGGTGTGAAAAGGTCTCTAGACATTCTGTCTGAGATCTATGGTAAATCAACTCTGAAAGGTGTCCATTGGGTCCCATCATGAACGACAAGTTGAAAAACAACCCAGACATCTTTTCTTCCATTTAGTTCCACCTTTCCACTCATAGTATGCAAGTAGTCTGCAACGTGTCAAAACCACAATTGGCCTGGGTATGCGTTTAAAGGTTTTGAACAGAATTAATAGGTGTGAGGTGCTCATTTTCAACCTTTTGCAGAGGCGATGTTCCCATTTATTTCACCAAAGGCCATCCTCTTTACTTTCCAAGTATAGGTCAGACTACATTTATTGCCAACCATTTTAGCTGGCAGGATTCATAGCTTTATCATTTAGCAATTCAATTTAGTTAATTACCACATTTCAATTGACACCAAAGGTCTACATAACTCCAAGCAGGCTACTCTATGTAATGTTACTCGCTTACATCTGGTTCATAATAACTTCATATATTTTTCTTTTCATAAGAAGAATTGGGAGGAACATTGTGTTTTTTCTTCACTTACAGCAGGGGTGTCCAATCTTGTTCCTGGAGGGCCACTGACCTGCAGAATTTAGCCAAAGCCCCTGGAAAGCAAGCCTACAACCTTTATGCAAAAAGTCATAGCGGCTAATGCTAATGCTGCTTCCATAGATATGTATTGGCAGTACGCAGGGAAGGAGACCAGAGTCCATTGTATGATTGGCTGAGGTGCCTCACATGATCCAAGTTAGCCGTTACACTTTTTTCAGTGGTAATTAATACAGACCCCACTCATCTCCCAATAGTAAGACAATCTCTGGTTTAGCTCCATCCCTAAATAAACACATCTGAACCAGCTAATCAAGGTCTTCAGACTCACTAGGCTGCGTCTGAAAACTGGAAAATGCTGCCTTCGAAGGACACATTTCAAGGTAGGAAGGCAGCAAGGCACGTTCAAATACAAAGTTAGCTTCACTTCCTGTCTCCTGAGATACCTTCATCTGGTTGATTTTTGATGTTGATGTTGTACCTTAAACCAGTGTTTTCCCAACCCTGTTCCAAACCAATGGTTTGGATGTCTTTTTTATCTGACACATCTATTTTTAGTCTTGGAGTCTCTATGAACAAGCTGAGGAGTTGAATCAGGTGTGTATTAGTAGGAAGAGTCTGAAAATGTGTACTGTTGGTGTGCCTGCAGGAGCAGAGTAGGGAAACACTGCCCTGACTGCAGAGTTTGGCTACAGTCCTAATTAAACACACCTGAACCACCTAAACAAGGTCTTCGGGATAACTAGAAACTTCCAGGTTGGAACTAAACTCTGCAGTAAGATGGCCCTCCAGGAGCATAATTGGACACCCCTGAGCAAACATGTGCTGGTCACTGATCCCCGTCATGGGACACTGGTACCCCCACCAGGTGTCTGAACAAGCTTCAACCAACTTGGTAAGCTGTAAACTTGCTACCCCAGAACCAAACAAGCTGGTTGGGTCTCTGCTTCCTGGGCAGAGTATGGCTTTGTGGGCAATGGAAACCTAAAGCAATAACCTGGACAAGGACTTAGTGGTAGCGAAGGTAATCACACACATGCACACATGGACCAACCAAAAATCATTCCTCTCTTTTTCTCTTCCATTTTCAGTCTGCTCCTTCCCCCACAGCCCGAGATGAAAAATGATGTTTTTACAGGTGTCTC